GGGGGGGGGGGGGGGGGGGGGAGCCACGAGGATCCGCACGGTTCTCCCCTCCCCGTCCCCCGTCTCCCTCCCCACCTCCGGGAATCCTGGCAGAACCGAAAGCGTCCCCACCGGGAATAGAGAGGCCCGAGGAAGTCCCCACGTCTACTACCACCCCCCAAAACGGGAAGGCTACAGCTGGGGTGTGGGGAAGCGTTTCAAGGAAAAGGGTTTCCCAACTCAGGGTTTCACTCTCTTTCAAAGGAAATTCCCTCGTATGGGCGCAGCGTCCCACCTCCCCAGCCATCCATTCGTGCATCCATGCATCCCCACCGTATTCTATTCCATCCCAGCTCCCACCGGCGCACGGAGACAGACATTTATTAAGAGTGAACCAGCTTTCTGTGGGATCAAAGGGCTCCTTGAGAACTTTAGGAGACTGGGGGCCCTCTCGTTCTACAGAAAACACACACCCTGTGCCTACATTTCCCCAGTTCCCGGCACCCTCAAACACTCTTGAACCAATGTTAACACTCTCCTCTGCAGCTTGGAACTCCTGGGTTCTGGTCCTGGGTTCTGGGTTCTGCCTCTGATGGACTGGTTCCCATGAGCCTCGATTTTCTCCAAAGGAAACCTGAGGGGCTTGAATTGGACAGTGACTGGGGTGCTGATTTTTCAAGCTGTGAATTCCTGGGCCAGGCCAAGAAGCCAGGCTGCACAGAATAGGGAATGGGAGGAGAGGTGGCTGCTAACCCCATTCTCATGACTTCTGCCACAAAGAGCACATTTGCAGCTCTGTGGGTTCTACCTCTGGAATCCCTTCCCTCTTTTTTATCACCTCTACCACTGACCTAATTCAGAGGTTCATCATCTTCCATCTGGACTGTGCCAACAACCTCATTCATTCAATAAGTACATGCTTGTTAAGCACCTACTATATGCCAGGCAACTCTTCCTCTACACCGTTGCAGTTTTCTTGGTAAACTCCAGATCTGATCTGATCAAGGCATTTTCCTTCTTAAAAGCCTCTTTGGGCTCCCCTACGCCCTCAAGATGATCCAAGCTTCTTATCCAGGCAGAGTAAACCCTTCCCCACTGGGCCCCAACCTCTCTCCCCACACTCACTTCCTGCAATGTCCTCCCACGCACACTGGCTTCAGCTATACTCACTCTCTCCCCATCTCCCAAACACACAATCGTTTATCCGTACTGTTTTTCTCACTGCCTTGCTGTTTCCTTCCTTCCCTTCTCTTTCTTGGAACCAGATTAAATGTTGCCTCTTCTTGAGCTTTCCCTAACTCCCTGAGACAGAGGTAAGTACTCCACCCACTCTGCCTCTTCCCCCATGTTCCCACAGCATTTAGCATGCTGGACCATAATTCCACATGCCTGATCCCATTTAATTGTGAGCTCCTTGAGGGCAGAACTGAATCTATCCCAGTCCTGGGCACATAGTAAGACACTGATACACATTTGCTGAATGCATAAATAAATGTGAGTGGGTTCAGTAACTTCTGATCCTAAGCACAGTCTCCATCACGAAGAGGAGTTGGAGGCCAAGGGTTCAAAGCTGGTAGCCTCAGCACAGACCTCAAACTTCAGTGACCCCTTGGACAGAAGGGATAGTGGTCAGATACCAGAAGCCCAGAAATACTTGAAATCAGGGTCCAGGGGATTTCATTAAAGCCACCTAAACATGCCTGGGATGAAGAGATTAAAATATATTTTCACCCTCTTTGAAAAAATGAGCACAGTTTTCATTCTTTTGGGAGGGGGGCGTTACTGTAATAACTTGAGCCATTACTTATTCTTTATTTGCTTGATTCCAAAATTGGACCCTTCACAAGACTGCCTGGGGAAGCAAGACACGGAATTAAAACATTAATTATATTATATAAAACATATCATAGCAGCAATTAAAGCAACTTAAATTAATGTGTGAAAGAATAAATAGTAGCCTTCGGGTTGCCCCAGGGGGCGAAGACCAGATAAGATAAAGGGAAGATATTTTAGTACATAAATATCCCAAGGAGATGTGCTGGCGGGCACAGGCCCAGAGAAGGCATAGCATCTCCTTGGGCTGAGAAGAGTTTGCTGGAGGAGGAAAGAGAGAAGGTGATTTAAAGGAAGGGTGGCAACATACAGAGTCCCATCAAAGAGGGGAACTATGAAAGGTTCAACGATAGGAGTCAGTTAAAGGACATTCGAAAGAGTGAGGGCCCAGGATATTGGAATCACAGAGGAAGGGGCTTTAGAGGGAGGTGGATATAGGGCCAGCTGAATGGGTGAGGAACATGACTGGAGGTTTGGTTTCTACAGCACAGCCACAATCTGGCAACCAGAAGGTTCTAATATGCAAACTCGATTGTGTTGCTCCCAGGTTTGAAGTGACTCCTCCAGAGCCCTTGTTCCTTAGGTGTGCAGGGCTGCAAGACCGTGGGCTTCCTGGCCTGCATCTCTATTCTTCCTGCCTTCCACTGGATGCTCCAGCACCACTGCCCAGGTGTACCAGGCTATCACCTCTGCCTGGAAAGCCCTTCTGCCCCTTTCCTTTCATCTGGCCAACTCCTCATCTTTCTAGGCTCAGCTCTGGTTCTCTGCCTCTGGAAAGCCCTCTCCAGCAGCCAACCTGGGATGCACACACCTACTTCTCCATGCTCTCTCACAACCCCATCGCTGCTTACCTAAGCAAGAATCTAGCCCGACCACACTATATTTCAATTGTTCTGTTTACTTGCAGAACCAGCATATTGAGGAGACTTAACTCAGTGGGGCATAACAATGAAGCTTTTTTTCTCCCTAATCTCTGCCTTCAGCCATGCTGTGTTGAATCTCCCCTTTCCATCCCTTAATGACATCTTGGGCAGATTGCATTACGTTCGGATCACTTTCTATTGTTAAACTTCTATTCTTTAAAGCTTTATTCTCAAACTCAAGTTAAATCTCATTTTATCTTCTCTCTTACTCATCAAAGGGTTGACTTGAGCCAGGATCCTACCTGCTAGGAATAAAAGGGGAGAGGGGGCAGGGAATGGCTCAATTGGAAGACACACCCTCCACCCTCACCCTTGTTGAAATGGGGAGGAAGGAAAGAGCAAACATTCCGGTCCATGTCCATGTCCTCCTTCCATGGATACTTGGAGTGGCAACTATCCATATGTGGTTTCTCATGGGGCACATGAGTAAGTTTCTTGGGGACTTTTCCACTGCACAGTTCTCTGACAGGGGGCATCCAGCTTAGGCTTGACCTGTCCTATCTCACCCCACCACCTGGGTCCTGCCACTGGTGGGACCCTCTTGCCCAGCAGTCAGCCTGCTTGAGTGGGACACCAGAAAGGTGCCCACCCTGCCTTTTTCAGACAGGCAAATTACTGCCAGTGCACACTTGACCCAGAGGAACTCACGCATCCTGACCAGCTACTCCACCTCTCTACCTCTCATCTCCCCTGCTCAGATGCGCATAGTCCACTGCCAAGCAGACCCCACCCCCATAGGGGAACAGCTTCCCAGCATTCCATTCTTGCAGTCACTTCTCATTCTCCATGACTGACCCCTTTTGAGCCCCCTCCTCCTTTAATTGGGCAGGAAGGGAATTGCCTCAATAAAACCAAAGGCCTCTCTCCTCCCCAGCATTGTTATATGAGCAAGGAAGAGGAAATTGGGGTTTTGGCTAGCAGATGTAAAGTCACTTGTGCCTCCTTTAGTAACCCTGGAGAGAAAGAATCTGGGTCCCTAGAATACAGGGTACACGAGGCGTGTTGGCTCTGGCTGTGGCCTATATTGCCGATTCCTAAGTAATAGGGAACTCCCACTCAATCACCTTTGCACCAGGCCATCCTTCACATTTAACTTAATTCCTGGAGAGAAGGAACAGTGTCTCATACATCTTTCTAACCTAATGCTCCCACAGAATATAGGCACATGCCAGATCCTGAACAAGTATTTGCTGAGTGAATATGGAACTGCAAAGTAATGAGACTGAAGGGATCCATCAGCATCCACCTACTCATTCCTACACTCTCCTGGGTAGCTGCCCATCTCCACCAGATGACTGGGCTCTCCAGCTGGGATTCCCAGGCCCCTCTTTCTCTTTAGCTCAGCACAGTGGGCTGGGATTTATCAAAGGGAACTAAGAAACTCAGGAAAGAACCCAACCAGTAATTTGGAAAACCCGAGAGCCAGTAAAACAGATGGGTGGGTGGATGAGGTATAGAATTTCTTCATCATGATCTGGTTAAAGCCACTTACTGATTTGGCTGATTCTGATTTCTAGACAAGGAGGCCTCAACTCTGGCCATCAGCCTTCCCAGACTCTGATGTCTGGAGTAAGAGATGGCTTTGGTTATGGGAAGGAGGATCCAAGTTTCTTACCATGGCCTCAAGATCCTGCAT